CAAGCAGCCTCTAAAGCATTCATTATCATCAGTCAAACTAAGATTAAAATCAATCAAGAGTTTGCAGTTAACGGCACTTATATCTACAATTGAATTTCAAAGATGCCCGATTATACACTATATAACGTTACTGAGATTAGTTACTCCTTGGTTACATTGATCGACATACTTTCCAGCAACCACACACAAACTGACAACAAAGCGTCTGACAACTTGATGTTTACGAACATAGCACATGAAAAGACCAGAAAAGACAGACATACACCCAGACCCCCAAACACACAGTCAGGATGTAAAGAGTTACGGCCCTCGTCCTTACCTCGACAGGCAAAGCTACTTCCGTTTCATTTCGATCATTACAGACGTTTTAACGCTTCCTCTTGGTACTTTGTTGATGTAAAGCGGTCGTTGTTTAACTCCAAAATAATCTCCGACAATATAAGGTTTATTCCACGAGATTTAGTTTCAAAACAAACTTCGCTTCACAGTGGTACAAACCGTGCTTCAAGTCTTCACGACCAACTAACCTTTTCCTGTCAAGCGTCGAGCACATTCCCGAAAATAGGGTAACGACGAGGTCTATCACATGCCGCTTATTGGCTCAACCGGCTGTCAATCAAATGCGGTACCAATGGCATTAACCCTTAAAGCAGAGAGTAAGCTAGTGGATTTCTTGTTGTGGCTATACCGCACAGCATTGCCTCTGTATATGGTTAAGACTTATTACTAGTATGCATGCGATTAAACTCTCGCTTAGAGTGTATTGCTGTGATGTAAACCTAAATCCACAAATTACCCAAAATATCAAATTTATGCATAGCCTATTTTGGCATGGGGAAATTTCTGTAATAATATCAAACAAAAAGGGCAGAAAACACGTATCATACTATATTTGAAATCTTCATAGTGTGCGTCCAAATGGTATGAACACAATCAAATGTTTTCAGTACCTCTATTATAATTTATACATCATATATGCATACAATGATATTCAATATATTAACCTCCTAGAACTGAGAAATTCAATTTCTTCCTTTGCAGAAACCATTGGTTTTAATGGATTTCTGGGGAAAAAAAACAAAAACAAAAACATGCTGTGCATGCCCATTTTAATTGACATAATGGGCTTTTCAGAGATTCCAAATGTTTTGGGGTTTGGCCATGACATCTTTCTCTTCATGGCTTTTAAATGTCTGACATCACAAATCAGCACAATTTCATGGAAACAGACCAGCAGGTATTATTTTTTTAAACTTCTATTTGTTTGGCTTTCAAATTGTTGCATGCAAGTAAACATCTTTTTTGTAGTAAGTTGCCCTAAAACAAATGTTAATATATGTAAAAGGATGGGGATTCCCATTTCTGCTAATATTTACACAAATTTGCATAATACATAAGGATGTACCAATGTTGTTATAACTTATATACATTCTGTAGGCTTTGAAAAACATAGAAACTAACATCTGTGCAAAGTTTGATTACAAGCGTCTATTTGAAAAGGATATTTCTGTGCCAAAATAATATTATATTATAATTCATTTGGTAGTGTGCATAAAATACAAAAGCATAAATAATAAAAAAATCCTTCATAAACTTAAAAGAAATTATTAAATCAAATTTTACAGGGGACACATTAAAAAAATAAACTGTAGAAAACATGAAATGAAATGCAAACTGAAACGTTGTCTTCTTTATAGCCATGATGTCTACAGGGAAAACATGAGTGAAAAGTGAGTAATATTTGATATTGAGATTTTTTCTTTCCCAAAATAACAACATAATGTCAAAATAAATGTCAAAAACGTTTTTCTAGATCCTAGGAGGATAATTTAACATTACACTGATGACAAGCAACCATAATGTGCATCATCTCATATATAAAATTAGAAAGCAACCAACAGTTTGACAGTTTATTATTAAAACAGGATTCAGCAGAGATTTCTCTGTATTTAACTTTATTGTGATGTTTGTTTTCTTGTTTTGTTTTTTATTTCTCACCTGTTAATAAAAATCTTTTTGTGAGGCTAGATGTCAAGATGGCAGCCATCCTTCAGTTATCACAGTACTGTACCTTTAAGATGGACAGCATCAGCACTGTGATAACTGAACCAGGGCAGCCTGTCACATCAAGCAGAGCCGGGGCGGTAGTTCTTCACGCATCTTCTTGTCCATGTTCATTCTGGGATAACAACTATCACTTTCATAAATATCAGATCAATATGTGATGTTTACTGTTTTCAAAATATAACAGTTAACATATAATATAGGCTAAATAAATCTGACATTTCCATCTGTGTATATTATAGGAATGAGTATATGCAATCAATAAAGATTTTTTATTATTAAACATAACTTAGACTAAGTAGAAATGATAATATCATGATTGGACTTTATGCCATATTTTCATAGGATACACTCCATTAGATGTCAACGATTCAATACCTTCGTTTTGAGCTTGAATTATTCATACACACCACCCCTGTGACAACAGACTTGTTTTGGTAACTCTGACTCCACCTTCTATACTTTGCTCTCGTATTTGGCAAGCGCTTGGCTCCTCCCACATCATCCCGCAGACCCCGCCCACAACACCCCCGCCCTCCGTGCGAATCTCTCTTCTTGTAAACAACTCCATCAGCGCGTCGTGTTTGCCATCTCAGGACAGTGGAAACGCCTGCCAAATAATGACAAAACATCTGCCTAACATTCCTCTAGTGGCTGTTTCGGGGGGAAAAGGAGAGAAAACATGTCAATGGGTCAAAACGGGAATATATTAGCTGTTATAGTGTGTTGCGACTTCTCATAGAAACATGTTGATGTTTGATAAAAGTGCAGTTTTAAATAAAATGATTTATGGTAGGAACATTCCAGCAATATAATGTATAAACTATACATGAATACAAGACGTGTTTGAGCAAAAAGCCCGTTAGAACGGCACGAGGTCAGTATCTACAATCAATTATACATAAGTTAATACACGAAACGGCATTACATGATCATGTCACATAATATCACAGCAGGTATTGTAAATATTCTGTGTATATATATCAGTTGTTCTACTTGATATGTCGATTCGTTAAATTGTCGGATATCTTGCGACTCGTCTTATTGTACTATATTGATGTGCGCTAACGCCCAACAGCGCGCGCACACACCCCTCTCACGGCAAAAACAAACACCACATTCTTCTAACATAAAAACTAATATAATATCACTATCACACTTAGACATATGTACTATTCTACCGACTGCAAAAGTACGTACCTGTATTTTCAACGCTGAACTCCCTTGTTTACGTGAATATGTTTAATGACGCAGCAAGCCTTGCAGCGAACAACGTGATTGTCGCCATTTTTTGTTGTTATTGAAATCTTCAAGCCATGTGACAATAAAATAACACGCTTCCGGGTCCTGACGCTCAAAGTTCACCACTTTCTTAGTGCAGAATGACTCCTGCCATATAGAAGGTTTAAAAAGTCGACTGATTTTTACATTGTGCGAACAACGTGATTGTCGCCATTTTTTGTTGTTATTGAAATCTTCAAGCCATGTGACAATAAAATAACACGCTTCCGGGTCCTGACGCTCAAAGTTCACCACTTTCTTAGTGCAGAATGACTCCTGCCATATAGAAGGTTTAAAAAGTCGACGGATTTTTACATAGCATACCCGAAGTGAACTGCGTTTAATATCTCTTATGTTCTGACGCCCCCGTAAGGCACCTCGGAAATAAATGTTTGGCATGGGATAATAGCGGACTATTTCAGTGGTTTTGACCCTTTTTGTCTCCAAGGCCACCTACGTAAAATATTTCCGATGACAAAACAGCCTATTTCTTTAAACTTTGTTTATTGACAGAAGCAAGTCAATGGATAAAATAATGAACCGACTAATGCTGTGATTCCAGACGTCAGAACTGTATATTATTCAATAAAAACAAGTTGTTGAGGAGACCAATTAAAATATGAAATGTCATTTTACATCAACGGTTTTGTGTGTGTGTGTTTTAGTACTTAAGAAAAGTTTGAATTTGAATACAGTTATATATGATTTTATGATTTTGCAGCCCTATTTGGCAGTTTGCGCTATGGCTTGATATCAGTCCGTGGCCCATTTTTGAAAACTAAAGTAAACATTGCTGTGGCATCTGCGGAATTTTTTCACCTACATCACAGTCAACAAGTGTATATTGTCCTAAATCAGACAGGGGGCAATATCACACCAGTTTTACCAATGTGTTCGAGAGAGAATAACAGTAGCTGTGTCCTGTGTCCCAAAGTATGTATGCACACTATGTACGCACGCTAGTGTATTAAATGTATACGGCTATTTTGTCATACAACATCGGAGTATGATTAACCCTACCCCTCCTTTAAGGAAAGCTGCAACAGTTGAGTTTTAACTCTTTTTTTTTACTATTTAACCTTTTCATTTAAATAAGTGCATCGTTCTGACATTTAAAATGCATTTCTCTTTGGAATAAAATGGCACAGAAACGTGTAATCAGTATCAATAAACGCGACGTTTTTCATTTTCTTCTGGAAAGATCATCTTGCAAAATAATCATCTGTGCCTCTGACTCTCCAAATAACCATATTAGGAACCTGAAAGTTGGACACATTTCAACACACCTAATGTTTTTAACTGCAAGTACGCAGACGATCACAAACAGAAATCGGGTTCGCCTGAGGTAACGTAACCATAGCAACATTGCACCGCTCCCAGAGCCGTTGAGAACGCTCCGATGTTCTTTGGCATAACAGTGAAGCTGTCGTTATTTATCACTTAACTAATTGAAAATGTACACATTGTACAAAACTGTTTTGCTTACAATTCAATCACTGTGTGTGTGTGTTTTTTTAACCAGTACTACTTAAACATCTTAATACTACAACGACCAGACTCCTATGCGGTTTAGCTTGGGCATATTTTTCAGTGCGATGCAGTACCAGAGGCGTTTTAAAATAGGGCGTTTATGTTTCTGCTCTATTCATTTGCAGAGAGGAGACGCTCACGTCTACATAAAGAGCGGTAGGCGGCGCGTCGGCGAAAGGCTGTCCAGTTTTAATGAACAGTGACCACGGGCTCTGTCTTCAGCGTGGAAATAACCGTTTAATAGTACAGTAACGTATTCTGTTGGGTGGGTAAGTTTGTTTGTCGGTTTTGACCTCTAACTTTTTAAAGTCGTGACTTTGTGTATGAATTTGTGGCTTTATTCGATGTTACAGGCCCCCACCCTCATTCTGCACTGAAGAGCTGCTTCAACAGAATTGTGAATTGTAATGCAAACGCGTTAAATAAGTGCACGAGTTGCATGATTTCACTTGTAATGCTGAACTCGTGTTATTTTAAACAGGGCAGTTCAGTGCGGACATGTCCAAGTTATTCCGGGCTGTAATCATGGGTCCACCAGGCTCAGGGAAGGGGACCATATCCGAGAGGATCGCACACAGTTTCGGCCTTAAACATTTGTCTAGTGGAGACTTTGTACGAGAAAACATCGCAGCGAAAACTGGTACGTGCTTTTCACAAATTCGCTAACTTGTGATTTTCCTGGACGCTCGTTATCTCTGGGAACAAGCATGTCGATGCCAACATATATAGGCATCTTGCTGGGTTTTGAGACACAGCGACTGTGAAAAAGAAGGGATGCGTTGACCATATGAAGGGGCGGAACCACTGTTGCGGTTTATATGTTAAGAATAGCGGGTTATCGATTCTTTAACTTCAACGTTTGGTCCTTCCAGTCTGGAATATGTGGTTGGTACACCCGCGGGCGTCATGATGTTTGTGTTCGTGTGAGGTAAATGCCTTAAAAAGTTGACACTCCACATTTCTGTTTTATTGCACTGTTGCCATACCTGCCTCCCTTATTAAGACTTCAGCTGGCATTCATTTATGTAGATAAAGACAGACGAATGTTCATGCTGATATTGTATAGCCTACTAATAAACACATTAGTTAGAGTAGACTTTTTATTCATGCTCAGTAAAGTTATGATGGCTGGTAGATCCTTTTAGTATAAAGCCTTAAGTTGAAAAGAATCACATTTTTAAAGGTAATTATGATTAAGGTAACCTTTTGCATTAACACACATTATACTAAATATATTTGTCCATTTAAAACTTTGAAGGCTGAGAGCTGATTTAGCTACCAAAGAAAAAATACACAATAGTTGTTCCAACCATGAGCCCATCCATGTTTAGGCTAGTTTTTAATTGTAAAATGTTGTAATTTGTGTAGTGACGTTAGGAATTTTATCATACTTTGATATTTGTATGCTTGTAGATAAAATTCTGAATGAAATTATTGGGTATCAATGTCTCAAGTCTCTCATGTGACTGCTCCGATCTATTATATGATTAACACCAGTTGCTGGTTAAAACCATATGATTAATAATTGATTTGTCTCAGTTTATGTTTGCATTTTAAGTATGGTCATAAATAAAAGTCTCTTAGTTGCTTCCATTCTTGAAGAAACATCATAGAAAACAGTTTATTAACAATATGTGTAAAGCCATAAGTTTGATGATTAGTATGAAAGATAATGTGTTCCATTCATTGTCTTTTCTGCAGAGGCTGGTGTTCTAGCTAAGACGTATATAAAAAAAGGATTGCTTGTGCCAGACCATGTCATGACGCGTCTTCTGCTGCCTAGATTGGAGGAGATGACCAAATGCAGCTGGTTGTTGGATGGTATGGTGGTAAATCCCATTTAGTAATTGATCCTTTTGCTATATATTTTTTAATGTGTTTAGGACTAAGGTAAATCTCTTCAGGGGAAGCAAAACTTTCATTTCTTAATTTAACAGAAACTCAAAACAATCTGTAATTTTAGGAAGTAAGCTAGGAGCATTGAAAATATGTTGCTTTTTATTGCCTATTTCAGTTTTATCAATTGATTACTGATTTGTGAGACCAGAAAGTCAAGATGTAACAACTGCTATCTTAGAAAGTCTCTAGCTCCCAATATAGAATGATAGGATGTCAAACATTGACTGAAAAGATGTGCAGCGTGACCTACAAAACGGGTTTAAATATTCTTGCTACATGGAGTAAAACTAGGGTTCCTTTACTGCAGGACCAAACACATTAAAGCTGAAACTGCAAAGGCTAATCCTAAAGCTTAATATTTAAGTAGACTAACAAAAAAGTAACTACACTCAGTCATGAATAGGAAAGCAGGGCCCCTACTGGCAATTCTATAATGATACAAAACACCATAATACCCCACACCCAATAAGGATATAGTATTGCAACACTTGACATTTATGCTTAGTTACGAAACTACACATTGCAACATAAGTGGCGTATCAAAATAGTATTTATTTATAACTTTCAGCTGATATCTTAAAATGTAATAATCAAATAAGTAAAGAAATGTAATCACTCATGTGAATAATTCAGGTGTACACATGCACATTGCGGCCTTTATTCAAGTATTAGAAGTCATTTTGTGCACTTATCCTCCAGGTTTCCCTCGAACACTAGCTCAGGCTGAAGCCCTGAACAGTGCCTGTGATCTGGATGTAGCCATCAACCTCAACATCCCTCTGGAAACACTGAAGGAAAGGCTGCAACATCGATGGATGCATCCACCCAGCGGCAGAGTGTACAATATGTACTTTAATCCTCCCCGCGTCCAGGTGAACATTTTAGTCTTTCAGCTAACAGAGAACATTCTCAGAACTTTGGCTAATGTTCTGGCAAGGTTCTCTCAAGGTTACAAAACGTTCTTTCAGTAATGTTAACAGAATGTTTGTTCAGAGTTATCTGTTTTTTAATAATGTTTTCAAAATGTTAGCACAAAAACGTTATTTATACATTGTTAATGGAACGTTTTTTTCCCGGAAACGTTTTAGTTGGATGTTTAAGTGACATTTTTTGTTTGTTTCAGAATATTCAGAGACCTTTCAAAAGTAACTTTCCCATAATGTTTGCAGAATGCTAAAATGGAATGTTCCCTTAAAGGGTTAGTTCACCGCTAAATGAAAATTCTGTCATTAATTACTCACCCTCATGTCATTCCAAACCCGTAAGACCTCCGTTCATCTTCGGAACACAAATTAAGATATTTTTGATGGAATCTGAGAGCTCTCTGACCCTCCATAGACACCAACGCAACTGAAATGTTCCCAGAAAGAAACGTAGCAAGGACATCGGTAAAACAGTCCATGTGACATCAGTGGCTCAACTTCAATTTTGCGAAGCTATGAGAATACTTTTTGTGCGCAAAGAAAACAAAAATGACTACTTTATTCAACAATTCTTCTCCCCGAGTTACTGTCTTCCGCCATTTTGGAGAGTATCACAACGCATACGCACGCTTTACCCTAAGTGTAAACAACGTTGATTACGCCGATTACGTTCATGCGCACACTTTCCCCCCTAACGTAAACACCACCGATTACCTTCTTGGGTACTCTCCAAAATGGCAGAAGACGTAACTCGGGGGAGAAGAATTGTTAAATTGTTATTTTTGTTTTCTTTGCGCACAAAAAGTATTCTCGTAGCTTCGCAAAATTGAAGTTGAGCCACTGTTTTTGTTGTTCTACTTGTTTTGTGCAGGTGTCTTATGTAGCATAATTTCACAAATCTAAAGTCAGACCATTCTGTTTTTGCTTTAAATCTTGAAATCTAATTCAAAGCAAAAACAACTGCTTATGCTACATGTATGTAGCACAACTGTCAGTTAAAAAAAGAGAAAAAAATTTTTTTTCCTGTTGTAACGAACCATGACCCCAAAACCATGGTACGTACCAACTGTGACTTTTGTGTATGTTACACCCTAATATATACACACACACACACACACACACACACACACATATATATATATATATATGTGTGTGTGTGTGTGTGTGTTTGTCTATGCGTTTATTATTCTTATATCCCTTCTTCTTCTAGCTTGTGCTATGTATGAAAGTTTACATTGCTAGTGTTATTGCATCCATATGATAAATCGCTTGTTGTATTCCTCATTTGTAAAAAGCATTTGCTAAATGAATATATGTACATAATCTTTCTATCAGTTTTGCTCATTTCTGGTGTGTTTACAGGGGAAAGATGACATCACAGGAGAGCCATTGATTCAACAGGAGGATGACAGACCAGAAGCCCTGGTGGCCAGACTGAGACACTACAAAGATGTTGCCAAACCTGTCATAGACTTTTATAAGTAAGCTCATAACACATTTATAGAAATCACCTCACATTTTGGAATGCAAGCCAAATCTCACCCAGTGTCCTTGTAATTGTACTTCTATGAGTCATTTGAAAGAATGACAGAAAAGCTTGTTCTCTTTTGTTAAAAGCATTGTAATTATGTGTACCTTTTGAAGGGCTAAAAGCATCCTGTACACATTCTCGGACACAGAGACAGATCGGATCTGGCCGAATATCAGCACACTTCTCAGCACAAAGATCCCCACCATCCAATCAGATGCTCGTTGTGCTTCAACTCACTGAGGAAATCCACTGAAGTCTCATATCAAAGACACCAAAGTGGCCTCATCTCAGAGGAATTACTAATTGACCACATTTGGTTTCCAAAGATTCCATGATAGTCATTTTTATTATCGCAACTTGTCCATTGGTAGTATAGTATTATTCTTCATAGTGCTAGCTTTGATTATTTCTGTTTCTGAAAAGATTTCATACGTTTGAAGGACTTGCTCTCCGCTTTTAGCATTTGCTGGAATCTGGGAATCAGTCGGTAAAATTCAACTTATATCTTACAAGTACAATAGTTGTTAAAGAGAGTTAATGATTCCTAGATTTCAACTCACGAGTGCACAAATTTATATAGATGCGATTAAATCACATTAGAATAATGAAGGGTAGACGCATGTGACCTTGTGTAAGTGAATGAGACATTGAACTGTTCAAGCATTCCAGTGAGATTTAGTTATTTCTGAAGGGGCTTTACTTGATATCATCTCTGTCTGTGGTGTTTGCCTTTCTTATATATATATATCATAGTAGTGTTAATCATGCTACTACACACCATAAAAAAATGCTATAATTATTTGATGTGTTTTACGAGCTCTATAATCCAAATATGCCTTGGAGAAGTACAATTTCTTGATCTGCTGAAATTACTATTGTGAACACCAGGCATTATTCTTTGAAATACATTGATAGAGTGTTTACCTGTTAAAAATCAAATCAATGTGTGAGTAACACTATAGCAAATGGCAATATATAAGAATAATATGATATAATAATCCTATACCATATCAAATATTCTTTAAACACTGCCTGTTTTGGTACTGTTCAGCATTACATTTTTAAAAGCCATATCTGGGAAAACTGTTGATAGAAAAGAATCTAATGAGGTTACTAGGTTATGTATTGTACCCATTTAATAACTGTGACTGTGTTCAGCCAGAACAACAGTGATGTATTCTTTATCCAGAAGATTAAAGCACAGATTAATCAAAAACCACAGATTAAATTACACTTACATTACACTGCTTGTCCCCAAAACATCAGTGAAAGGAGAGTTAGGCACACATGACTTTATAGTAATAAACCTATGTTTATTTCTCTCTGTTTAATTTTCTTACTTCCCGTTCTCTCTCCCATGTTCTGTTCTGTCTTACATACCGGACACTACGGAATGGAGAAAACACTTAAAATATCTCCACACCTTCTTGTTATGCAATACCATATACAAGAATTTACATGCCTGAGCTTTCCCTTTTTTTTTTTTTCAAAGAAAATAAACTTATTTTCACAGAAATGTTGAGTGTATTCTTTTGATTTGAATTGAATCTTCATTAATTTTCATATAAATTTGTCTTTGGACCTCCACAAGTGGTATAAATACACATAAAAACGTATTCACAGCACATAAAAACATAATACATAATAATAAACCACTATTGTCAGCAGTTATTATATAAACTAATTGATAATGGAACTAATCTAAAAATATACTTGCAGCTACAATATTTTTTGATGATGATGATGATGACGATTATTATTATTAGCTTTCTGCAAGTAAAAACGTTTTACGGAAAAGCAACGTGGCATCTGACCAGCTGTAAGGAAGGATGTCCTTTGAGGGTGGGATTCGCGTTGATGTGTAACAACGTTTACAAATCCTACTACGGCGAATGTTTGGCTCATGAATATTAATAAGGTCAAATAACAGACGCTCCCAGAGCTGTTGGACGTTCCAGGAAGTTTACCGAGGAACGTCACCATCATCTAATTAATATTCATGAGCTCAGCTTCAGCCATAGCAGAGCCTTAGTAGCACATACCACCCGCGTCTGTAGTCTGTGTCTGCATCACGGAAGTCCCGAAACGTACTGAAAGAGGGAGACCAGTATGACACACAGCTAAAAAAAAGACAAATTGTCAGGTCTGACTGCTTAATAGCCTGTCACTTAAAATAAAAGTACAACAAATCAGCGATAGATTTGACCCCAAATAAAAAATCCGTTGTGTGATTTCCTAAACATGAACGGCCCCGTGCATGCTTTGTACAATTAGAATAATTAAACATTTGAGAAATAAAAAGCATACATATATATGTTTAGTAATCCAGATCAAACTGACAGTCGGCTGTGGATTTGGCTTGTGGGTTTTGATTCGATGATGCTGAAGTAGCTCTACAATCACTGCTTCAAGCATCTGGTCGTGGGTTTACTCGAAACGCAGCACGATTCGCTTCGCTGGGACTTCGCCAATCTGACCTTTGACAGCCAGCGAATGACAAATGAAAGGTCAGCGTTTCTGACATCAGCTGAGGCATCGGAGAATGACAGACAGTTCATCGAAAGGTAGGAGCACAACGCTGTTTATAAACCACTGAATGTGCTTATTATTAGTAGATGTAGTCATGCAGCATGGGATGAGACATCTTCGATATTACGGAGTGAATTGTTATTAATATATAAACCGTCGTGGCTGTCGTGATGTCACAATCAATCCGAAGGGCTTGATTTTTATTTTGTGTTTTATAAGTATTACGTTTTATATAGTGCCATAGGTGTTTTGTTTAGTCGTGGTCTTCTTCATGTCAACATCGCTGCAACATAATATCGCATTTGGTAATTTTATATGACGATGGGCCTGTTTTAAGAAGCAATAACCTATATGAGTCACGACATGCAAAGCAGATCAGCTGATCGGATGCCTTTCGAGACTGATGCATAGGAGGCGATGGTTTAATAATCATCGTCTCTTAGTATTATTATTTATTCTGATGAACCGAGATTTCGACTGAAGATGAACGATGACCACACTGGAAAAATCCAGATTTAAGATTGTAGATGATTTGTAACATGGTTGAAAGCTGGTCTAAGATTGGCATATTAGCAGGTGCAAGCAGGTCATTTAGCTGTTTGGCCAACTACCATCGTCCAAAAGAAAAAAAAAAACTTGAACATCTTAAGCTTTTATGATCTTTTATCTGTTATGATTTATGTATTTGTTACTTATGTATGTATGCATTAATTAATTTATGTATGTATGCATGTAGCTAGCTAACCAGCATTTCCAAGATGCTTCAAGAAGGTACCATCATGGAACAGCTGCTGACCGGCCTAGACCAGCTAATGATCATCTTAGACCAATTGGAAACCAGCTATATATTATCCAACAGGGTAATATATATATATAGCATTCTCTATTCTTTTTCTATTCTTTTGACTTGTTTTATTTTTATTTATAAAATAAGGGGGGAAAGACCCTCTAACACTTGCACTCTATTCTTTTTCTATTCTTACTACTTGTTTTCTTTAAAAAAAGAGCATCTAACACTAGCATTCTAAATTTTTTTCTATTCTATCTTCTTGTTTTCTTTTTAATTATTATAAAAAATCACCCTCTAACACTAGCATTCTCTATTTCTTTTCTATTCTTTTGACTTGTTTATTTAACAAAACGACCCTCTAACACTAGTGTTCCCTATTCTTTTTCTATTCTATCTACTTGTTTTCTCTTTATTTTAACCTTGCTACATGTACTGAGTTAGGCTAACCGAGACTCGTCACAGCAAGTACAGTGGGTACGGAAAGTATTCAGACCCCCTTAAATTTTTCACTCTTTGTTATATTGCAGCCATTTGCTAAAATCATTTAAGTTAATTTTTTTCCCTCATTAATGTACACACAGCACCCCATATTGACAGAAAAACACAGAATTGTTGACATTTTTGCAGATTTATTAAAAAAGAAAAACTGAAATATCACATGGTCCTAAGTATTCAGACCCTTTGCTCAGTATTTAGTAGAAGCACCCTTTTGATCGAATACAGCCATGAGTCTTTTTGGGAAAGACCCAACAAGT